TTGCGTGATTCGGCGTTTACTCATATTGACAGCAGAAAACGAAAATAAATCCAAAGGAACTTAGTACATGGAAAGGAAAATTCCCCTTGATTCACCGTTAATTTTACAGCAATAAACTCTAGAGATCAATGACTTTTTGGGTTGCAGACTCACCTCAACAACATTTACAAACATAGCTGTCCAGCTTGGATTTATGTGGTAGATTTCGTATCTTTTTATGCCGTCGTTGTCAGCCTTAAATCAAATTCTCAATAGTTTCAAACTGTACCACAGTAGCTCCGAGTCATACCAGCTTTTTTCCCAAGAAACGTTCGACCTCATCAGGAGCGTAGGCAAATTGCCGAAAATCGGCCATAGTTTCGTCCTCCTCGAAGTCTTTGGAGCAGACCGGATGTCCATCTTCGAGATTATCCAAAAGAGATTTTAAAGGCGCTGTTACGCATAATGTTGTCAGAAACAAAGCAATCACAGCCGGAATGTTAGTCATAGGTGGAATTTGACAGTCTCTGAAAACTCTTTGGTTGAAGTGTCGAGACTATTTATATTTTTTTCTCTAATGGTGACTGATTTCAGCGATTCTATCCGCACCAGTCTAAACAAATCAGTGTATCAATTTCTGCAACCACGCAAAAAGCGAATTGACTCCGCAAACCGGACGAAATAGAACGACAGAGAAAAAGTTTCTAGACTACATACATGTTTTTTGCAAGATATTAATCGTCGATGCTGAGTCTGTAGTCAATGCTGCATTTGTCCATACAAGCTTTTTGGCTTTTTGGTATAAAATTTCTAACGTTGCAAGACATTTCAAATGTTTTTGAAATCAACCACTTCAACTGCGGCGTTCACTGAACATTTTGGTGTAGTACTTTGAACACCCATTGTTGTGCATGGAACGTTGGCAAGGAAAGGAATTCGAATGAAATCATTACTATGGGTCGGCACAGATGCTTAAAAGTAAACGACAAAAAGCAGAGGGGGTGGTATTGTTTTGAGGGCGAAAAGGCACAGAAATCGCGAGGTTTTCTTTCAGTCGACGTTTCGTTTTTTTAAGGTTTTTTACGTTCGGAGTTTAACATCAAAGGACCTTTGATTTTGCGAAAAGCAAGAGGGACTTCTCATAAGACTTCGTGCTCTATTGTCGATGAACCTTGGCATTG